AGCTGGGCATTGGCATTGATTTGATTTGCATTCGGATGGTGGACGCCTTTGCTGGCGATTTTGCCTCTTTGACAGATACAGACAGTTGGTGCTTCACTAAGTTTTATTTCGCAGATCTCGGGGGTTGGGTAATATGTGTCTGCAGCGAGTGTTTTAATGAATTTTTAAGTTTTCTGCTGCTCAAACCCCCTCCCCTTTCTCTGGGAGCGAGCACCCACACAATTCAATTATTTGATTTCACTTTTGGCCTGCAATGGAATTTAATTTGTGCTGAGCCCGCAACGTGTCAGTTATATCGTCGCTCAGTTCGATAGTTCAGTTCTCCACGGTAGCGCTGAGGTTTCAGCAAATGGCTATATAATAATGAAAATAGACAGAGGCAGGAAGTGAAAGTGAGCTGGGGCCAGATTGAAAGAGCAGTGAACAATAGCGAGCCAGAAAAAAGAAACAGCAAAAATTGAATTTCACACCTTTCTGCACAGCGTAATATGGAGCGCATGGCTTTGTTTATTCAATATTAGGGCGCAACTTGAGAGAAATAGGGAAGCGAAGATAGAAGTGGCAGCGCAGCGGAGGCAGTCAGACAAACAGTTGCTGTGCCACAAACGGCTGACGGGGTCAGTTCGATGTTGTCAGACAGCAGCCGTTTGCAAGGACAACACGCGGCAGCAGGGCGTCCTTGCGCCTGACAAGGTAACAAAGGCATTGAATGATGTTGGCACATGCACAACATACCAAATATTTGCACTATAGCAATACACCGAGGGTCACTCAAAAAGGGACACCAAAAATAGACACCAAGGTTATTTCCAACGGATGGCCAAAACAGAAAAATGATGACCAAAGGTCGAAGGAAAAAACGATTGTATCGTTAAGATTTTGCTTTAGGTTACGAAGTTTGTGGAAATTATAGGGGCTGAAAAAGAGTTCAGTAAGTGGACCATTCGATATTGTCTCTGTGGAGAGCTCTGGCTGCGAAAAAATATTAAGTATTTGGCCAAGGATATTTGAGGGTATATCTTATGTATTTAGGACTAGATTTCTGTGGTTTTTGCATTTAATACGGTAACGTATGTTATGGCTCGTGGCTAAAGTATGTTAAAACTTTGTTCATTATTAAAAGCACTATTGGCAATTGAACTGCCAAAGACACATAAGAACAATTGCAAGACTTACTTTTGAGAGATGTTTAAGTTTTCTGAGGTAACACTTTTTTAGTTTTCAGGAGCAGAGTGGGACCAATTGCTTATCTCAGACAACACTTCAGCTTTGCAGATACAATTAGTCAGGCCGTATCTGCTTACAAACAAGATTCATAGCTGAATAAATCTGACTAAATCCTGTATCTACTAATTGAAATAAAAAAAGTAGGACAAAAATTAGTTTCGATGCATTCAAGAGTATACTTACGTGTTGAATACGTTTGTATTCTCACGTTGACGTGTCGTACGTAACATCAAGAAGAAGACAAAATAGCCATGATTCTATGCCCGCTCCTCCTTTTATCTATCTTTCTAATATTTGGACAGCATTAGAGCTTATATCACCAACCTTGGCATATCCCAGTTCCTAATTCGGGGAAGGGAATGGTTTTTAGTTGTATTGTACTATCTGCTATTATCTTCCAGTAGCAGTTGGCATTTTAGTTTCAGCTACTTAACGTTAAATAATAAAATAAGTACCGGCAAAATGGAAGGCTTAGCAATGACTATATCTGGACACAATACGGACAAAAGCAAGATAAACACTGAGAAAACCGTTTTAAATGAAACGACAAATGTCTACTTCGAATTGAGATATAATAATCTTCCTGCTGCAGAATAGTGCTTATATTCATGTTGCCACCAATGTAGGAGAGGAACAAAGAAATATATTGCGTTGCCTACAAGTTTTTTTGGGCAATTGCGCGCTCGTGCATGTGTTCTGAAGTGTTTGTCAATATGTATATGTATGTATGTATGTGTACTTGTGTCAGCGTATAGGTTCCATTTCCGCGCCACAAAGCAAACTATAAGTTGACATGCTCGGTAGCACATTTTTATCTAAGAATTGCGACTCTGGGTTTTCCTCTTCACTTTTATCTACTTCCTTCACTTACTTCACTTACACCTACAGCTACAACGGCAGTGGACGACCACAAAAACAACTAGGAAGTACGTATAGGAATAGACTGTAGCTAGGCAGGCCTAGACAAACATGTTAGCTGAAATGATGAGGTCAGCCATGGAGAAGAAAATTAGGACGCAGAACTTGAAGAAATTGTGAATTACTCGCCGTTTGTGATACAATGTCAGTTGGCAGGCCAATGAACATTTGAGGTACTTTCCCTATGCTAATGAAATATTCAAAGGATTTGCCATAAACTCATTCCTAAAACCTTGTTACCCAACTCAAGAGCTGGGCCTGAAGGATTGACACACGCGACAAATAAAAAAGAATTCCACCAGCCCAATAATCGCAATCGCACATAAATTTTGTCCCCAAGGCGTCGGCAAGCAAAAAAACCAGCGACCAGACAGGCCACAACAAATGAACGAAATTTTGGTAAATTATTCTAGCGTAAATAATTCAAGTGGTAATTCTCTTTTCCCATTCGTTTTTGTCTCGCCTTTGTCTTTGGTATTGAGCACAAGGTCTATTGTCTCCTTGCTGGGCACTTATATGAGGATTGTCTCCCAGTCTGATGGCCAGTTTGTTGTCTTTGCTCGACACACATCCCGTACCACTTTGTGCCTCGCTTGCCCTTTGTTGCTACTTATTTATGCTCTGTCTGACAATTTGCTTCCTTTTCATTGAACTTTTTTGTTTCTGGGCTCCACTGTGCTTTGAACTTGGTCGAGTTGGTCTCCAAATTGAAAACCAGTTGACCTGTAGAAAGCTTTCAATTGTGGGAAACGCTGCTTAGTTTAGGCGCTTCATCTCAGAGAGAAGGAAAACATTTAAGCTCAGAATAAATCCATCAATCTATTATTCCACTTGCGTAAAGTAACATAAATGTAAAGTGTGTCTTTTGAAAGCCTTTTCTGTTTTCAATACGATATATATACTTGTACTATAGTATTGAATATGTACACAAGTAATTCTAATTGAATTTCGAATGGAATGGAAAGGAATTATTTGCACAAACATTTCACAATTGTTTCCGTCGCTATCAAAAACGAAAACGCAAAACTGTTTAACCCTACTATGTGAAGAAAAAAATGTCCCTTTCTTAGACCCGATTCAATACCGGCTGAAACAGACTGATCTTTGCGAACCAACCAGTCTTTGCCGTTCTGCTTCTTTATGTTTTCGTTTGATGGAAACACTGAGAGCGTATTTAAGCCATTGAAGACATAAATTTCCAACTTTGCGTTCTATTCTTCATTTCGTGATTTTTCTTTGTTTGTACAATAACAACGGCCGAAAGGTGAACCATAAAAAGTAGAAAGTATTGATCGTATTTTACCCTATAAGTAATAGGGATGGCTCCGAGCATTTAGCTGAAACTTTGAACATAAAACTGTGATTTTGCTTGGCCCAGTCTCTCTGAATAAAAATATGATGAAAATTTACTTTTTCTTATCAAAACTGTACAGCGTGCCATTTGCCTCTTGCCTCTTGCAAAATTGGCATTGAACAAAGAGCATTGATATTGCTATTTAAATTGAACTCTTTTGACATATTTTAAAAATAAAACAAGTAGCTAATTCCAATCAAATTTGATTTAATTTTTATCAGTTATAAAGACATGTATTTTATAGGTGAAAGAAGATTTTGTACGTTGGCGTTCATAACGCCCTCTTTATACCCTGTACCCGTAGGGTAAAAAGGGTATATTAGGTTTGTGCAAAGTATATATATTCTGAATCAGCATGACGAGAGAAATCGATCTAGACATGTCCGTCCATCCGCCCGTCTGTCCGTCCGTCTGGATGAACGTAAGGATCTCAGAAACTATAAAAGCTAGAATAACCAAAGTTGGCATCCAGATTCTCCTAGGTCCGAGAAAGGACGAGTTTATTTTATTTTTTGGAATCCCCCCCCTTCCCCCGCTACAGAATTTCGTCAATAGTGTCCACATTTCAAATGCTACCTAAACCAAACTTTGCACACATAATTTATATATAATTGTCTGCTGTTGTTTAATTCGTTGTTGTTTATTCAATTCGGTCAATTCTAAGAAAAGTTATTAGCGAAACAAATTCTCGCCAGTACAACCCCCACAAACTGCAGCAAGGGAAGGGGGGGAAAATTAAAAAAAAAAAATAAACTCGTCCTTACTCGGACCTAGGAGAATCTGGATGCCAACTTTGGTTATTCTAGCTTTTATAGTTTCTGAGATCCTCGCGTTCATCCAGACGGACGGACAGACGGACAGACATGTCTAGATCGACTCGTCTCGTCATGCTGATCAAGATTATATATACTTTATGGGGTCGGAGATGCTTCCTTCTGTATGTTACATACTTTGCACAAACCTAATATACCCTGTTTACCCTACTGGTACAGGGTATAATTATCTACTGTTGTTTACAATTTTATCCAATTCGGTCAATTCTAAGAAAAGTTATTAGCAAAACAAATTCTCGCCAGTACAACCCCCACAAACTGCAGCAACAAGTTCGCTCTTCTTCTTCCTCTTTTTGCTGCTGCTATGGGCGCATATAACTCAGTGACGGAAGTTTACCTGGGTACAGGGTATTACACTGTCGGGCTTGCTCGACTGTAGCGTTCTCTCTTGTTTCCTTTAGTTTTATTTAATTTAAGTTCTCTATTGTTCTCTTAATCAATAAAATTTAGGATTGCGATTACCGATTTCGTACTGCACATACGGATATATGTGTGTTCATTTTGAAAATAATCCATAGAAGTTATGTGTGGCTGCACTGAAGTAAATTACATTTGCAATATCTTTTTAAAAATGTTTACTCCATGTACAAGAAAAACCAATATCTTCTCGTAGAGTTATTTATAACTACGAGTATTTATGGATTTTAGAAATGATTGCAAGCATACTATAAAATTGAGTCTATTATTTATTGGGCTATTGTTAGGTGGTTGTGCTTGCCAGAAAGTAGAGTAGGAGAAGTAGAATAAACTAGGAGATAAAGTACTTGAAAATTTGATTGGATTAACGTTCTGGTACCATGGAGCAGCGAGAGCTTACACAGCTTGGCTTTCTGGAGTTTCGAAGAATAGATGGCGGTACATCATCTTCATCGTCACTTATGAGTGCGTCAGGTCCAAGCTCTTGGTTGCGAATATAGCGTGAGACAATTCTTTGCGGCCGGCGCGACCAGTTTTCTAGCTCCTCCTTGTCAGCGTTTATCTGTGAAAAACCAGTACAAATGATATGGTAGTGTATTTGTTTAGCTATTGACTTACATTATCGCCTTTGAGGCGATCTAAGTTGGCGACACACACGTTAGCACTGCGTATGTTAGCCTGCTTTGTGAAAGCGGCGAAAGGAGCACTTTCCATATCTATGTTTGTTATGCCCTGATTTTTGAGCTTTTGTAGATAATTTATTTTGTCATTGTCGGTGTAGTCCGCAAAGGCACCGTCGGTGCGCGTCTGTCCTTCATAGAAGTCATTGGTGCACATTGTCTTACCAAGAACGGTTTGGAATCCATCTTCTGGTCGAGCAAAATCGGCCACCTCACGAGCAAGTTGCGCATCCAACGTAGTGGGCCGTTGCTCGGCCTTACCTCGCACAACCTAATTATATATCCTTTAAGTACGAAAGGAGTCATTTGGTCGATGTGAATTAGCTACTAACCACTTCGTGGGCGCTGCGCAACTGACCATCCAGAGCTTGCTCAGAAATCACCACCGTTCCAGGCTTTACGTTCAACCCCCCACTGGCGCCTATCCGAAAAAAAATCGGATCCTGAATATTGGCATGGTACACCAACTTAATTACTTCGTTCATAACTGCGCTTACTGAGGGCGCTCCCATCCCATGGCTAACGCATAGCACGGGACCAACCTTGTACATGGCATAGCGATTGCCAGACTTGGCTATGTTTACCGGATTTCCAGAGGGTAGATCCAAATCCTTCATCATGCGCTTTGCAAAGCTTAGCACACTTTCATCCGTGCTACCCATGACAACGTACTGTGGACAATATATAAAGGAATCATTATATTGATGGCTATGGTTTCCTTGTATTTGTCGAGCAAGCCTGACAGTGAAATACCCTGTACCCAGGTAAACTTCCGACACGAGGTAAATTTGCCTCTAGCAGAAGCAAAAGGAAGAAGAAAAGCGAACTAGATGCTGCAGATTGTGAGCGTAGTACCGGAGTGAAATTGTTTCGCTAATAACATTTCTTAGAATTAACAGATTTAGATGAAAGATGAAACAGAAGTAGATTATTACATATAAATTATGTGTGCGGTATGGACGAAAATCTGTAGCGGGGGAAGGGGGGAAATTCCAAGAAATAAACTAAACTCGTCCTTTCTCGGACCTAGGAGACGCTGGATGCCAACTTCCAGCTTCATCACTTCAGTTCTATGTCAACAAACTGCAGCATCAAGTTCGCACTTCTTCTTTTTATACCCTGTACCCAAAGGGTACAAGGGTATATTAGTTTTGTGCGAGTGCACATGGAACACACAGAAGGAGGCTTGGTAGACCCCACAAACTATATATATTCTTGATCAGCATGACAAGCCGAGTCGATATAGCCATGTCCGTCTGTCTGTCCGTCTGTCTGTCTGTATGAACGCAAGGATCTCCGAAAGTATAAGAGCTAGAATAACCAAACTTGGTATACAGATTCTCCTGAGACCGAGAAAGGACGAGTTTGTTCATTTTTTCTGATCCACCTCCCCACTCCCCCCCCCCCCCCCCCCCTATTACCGATTTTCTATAACTTCCGTAATTCTTAGAATTTTGAACTCAAATTTGGTAGTCACATTAGGTTAGTAATTATATATCCGTATACCAAGTTTCATTTTGATAGAATGATCGGAAAGAAAGTTATAGCCATATAACCAGGCCCAATGCACACATACATACATATGTACAAGTACACAAACACGCATAAGACACGATTCTGATGTAAATGTAAATGTATGTATGCATGCATGGACTATTTTATATTTAATTAGTTAATATGTAGTTAATTAATTAAATTAATTTAGCTAATTAATTTAATTTAATTTATTAATTAATTTAATTACTTTTTTGTGGGGTGGTACAGGGTATTTAAGAGTTGAGCCTGCTCGACTTTAGCATTCCTTTCTTGTTTCTTTTGCTATAACTCAGTGACGGCAGATTCTTTGGGTACATTGTATTTCACTTTCGAGCTTGCCCGACAGTACCGTTCTTTAGTTTTTATAGCCTGTACCCAAAGGGTAAAAGGCTATACTAGTTTTGCGTACTAGGCGTGCCCGACCCCACAAAGTATACTTGTATATATTCTTGATGAGGGTGACAAGAGGAGTCGATTTAGCCATGTCCGTCCGTCTAGACGATCGCAAGGATCTCAGAAGGTAAAAGAGCTAGAATTACGAAACTTGGTATCCAGGTGCTCAAAGGCCCTAGGCAGGTCAAGTTTTTGTTTTTTATTCTGATACACTCCTCCCACTCCCCCGCAACTCGTTTTTTTTCATAGCTACCGTAATTTTTGGAATTTCGAAATCAATTTGGTAGTTACATCCAGTTAGTTCTTATGTGTCTGATGCCAAGTTTCATCATGATAGGTAAATTCTGAAGAAAGTTATAGCCATAAATAAAATATCTGACCGTGCGCTGCCTGCAGCTCTGCCCTCAGCGCTACCCGGAGCTGTTGTTGTTGTTGCTGGTTTGGTTCAACTTTGTGCTGCATACATACACGCAAATGTATGCTGTTGAAACTGTACACAAACATGTCTCCACTACCGAATATATTGAAGAATTTGTGTTTAATTTAATTAAATAATTTAATTAATATAATTAAAAAAAATGTTTTTCAATATTTTCATTTTGGTGCGAGGTACAGGGTATTTAAGAGTTGAGCCTGCCCGACTTTAGCGTTCCTTTATTAATGGGATAGTGTCAACAAAAAGATGAATCGTTACAGCGTTACAGAGGGTTACAGTGATTATTGGGGATCAAATCGGATTGATCTTGCTTGTTCACAAAAGAAATTCTATACAGAATATGTATAAAAAGCAGGGTAATTATGAAATAAAATCAGAATAAACTTGGAAATATATGCGTATGCTTGTTTCCCTTTTTGATTTCCCATTTGTCTGCGAAAGAACCAAATCGTGGCAATGATTTTCAAATGTTTCCATGTACATCTGCTGAACACCATACCGTCATTTAGATGGCGACTGGGTCGCACTCTAGCTACCTTAGAACACTTAACTATGACATTTAGTTTCACTCACCTTGACATCGCCGAATTCCTTACGGAAGTCCATGCTGGCTGTGTCAAGACCCAAATGGTACAGTACGTCGGGTTTTAAGTTTTTGATGTTCTTAACATTAGACAATCGAACCGTGCTTTGTCCGCTGCATTTTCCGGGACATGTATCCCTACCGTCCATTCCCCCACGCGGCGGACCTCCACAAGTACCTTGCTGGGGTCCATATTCCGGAATAGGGCACATGCCACCATATTGGTTGTTATCGGCCATATTTCCCGGCCCACCGCAGCCGAAATTATTCAATCCGAATTGATTATTAGCCCCAGCCGTCCCGCATTGATTGGTGGCTGCTACTGTAGCTCCACCCATCCCGCATTGATTGTTGGCTGCTACTGAAGCTCCACCCATCCCGCATTGATTGTTGGCTGCTACTGTAGCTCCACCCATGCCGCATTGATTATTAGGCGCAATCCCGGCTCCTCCCACACCGCATTGATTATTTAGAGCCGCAGCAGCTACACTCATTGCGCAACCGGCATTATTGGCGTTATTGGTGGAACAAGCATTTTGGGTATTACTGGCTTGGTATTGATTGTTGGCGGAGGCTCCATTACTTGACCTCGGGCCACAGCTCGTGGAGTTGTCCGGCGGCATAGAACAGCTCTGATTGCTAAGCAAACGATTTAGCTGCTGACCCTGCTGCACAACCATATCTGGATGGATTAGAATAAAATGATCGAAAGCTCGTCTACCTGTTTCTATTTCTTCAAGACCACATACCTCGCAGATCGCTGACTTCCCGGCGCAGGTCGCATGAGGTCTTGCATCCAAATCGGCCGTTTTGCGATTGAGCCATTTTCATTCTCTGCAAACACATCGCACAACGACCACAGCGACAAGAAGCCATATTTCTCCCTATATCGCCGAACTGTACATTGAACTTTTGTGAAATATTGAATTTAGGAGTGTGTTCCCCAGGCTCAGCTGATTGAAAAAAGTCGAAGGTATGCAGGCACACCATTAATAGATTTGTTTTTATGCAACGCCTGCGCCCCACAAATCAAAATTTATATGCCGAAGTATACACACTAAGGGCTAAAAGTATCGCGCCGACTATTAATAACAATTGTGGCAGCCTTTGCAACATAAATTCCACCTGTAAGTGCTCGAGGCAATGGCTGCTGCCAAAAATGGGCAAAGAGAGAGACAAACCGCAAAGCAAGCAAACTGGATGGTTGAGAACGGGGGTTATACTACTAGTAGGTGCCAAGCTGTGTCAAATTCAGATGTAGTTGGTGGTCATGAAGCAGATAGCGACACCAACCACAAGAAAAAAACAATAAAGGAATGCTGAAGTCGAGCGGGCTCAACTCTTGAATACCCTTTACAACCCCACCAAAAATTATTAAATTAATTAAATTAAAAAATTAAATTAATTAATTAACATGCATACATTACATTTACATCAGGATCGTGCCTATACGTGTTTGAGTATTTGTACTTATGTGTGCAGTACATAATTGCATATGCCAAAGCAGTAACTACAACAACAGCTGCGGGCCGAGCTTGGGCAGAGATATTATTTATGGCTATAACTTCCTTTCTAATCAACCTATGAAAGTACCAAATTTGCGTTTAAAATTACAAAATCGCGAATAGAAGAGGCGTGAACAAACTTGCCCTTTCTCGGGCTTAGGAGAAACTAGATACCAAGTTTGGTTATTCTAGCTCTTATACTTTCTGATATCTTTGCGTTCATACAGACAGACGGACATGCAGACAGATGGGCATGGCTACATCGACTCATCTTCTCAACCTGATCAACCTGATCTGCCATGCCTCCTTCTGTGTGTTACATGCACACTCGCCAAAACTAATATATCCTTCTACCCTTTGGGTACAGGGTATAAATAGAAAGTTTTATCCCAAGGCGCAGGCGACGTACCTTTAATAAAAATGTACGTCCATGCGTAGTGGTCGTACCCGTTGAGGGACATACTCGTAGGTGTTGTGAGAATATGTGTGTCATTTTACTGTATTACTATCAACAAGAGAGAACGCTACAGTCGAGCAAGCCCGACAGTGTAATACCCTGTACCCAGGTAAACTTCCGTCACTGAGTTATATGCGCCATAGCAGCAGCAAAAAGAGGAAGAAGAAGAGCGAACTTGTTGCTGCAGTTTGGTGGGATTGTACTGGCGAGAATTTGTTTTGCTAATCGGCTGTACTATGTAGCATGCAACGTACATCGCTACTACTGTTGGCCGATCTGATGGTGGGTGTAGCGGCTAAGCGGAGCACGCGCTTGTTCCGGCTACGGCGGTCGTCGGCAATATGGGGCTGGTTATACTCTGTACATACAAGTAAAATGTACAAAAGTATATTAGGTTTGCGGAAGCTGAAAATGTAACAGGCAGAAGGAGGCGTGGCAGACCCCACAAAGTCTATATATTCTTGATCAGCATGGCGAGTCGATCTACCTCTGTCTGACTGTCTGTCCGTCTGTCCGTATGAACACCTGGATCTCAGAGACTATAAGAGGTAGAGACACCAAAAGTAGCACAAAGATGCGTTATATGTGTATTTTTTGGATTTTCCTCCCCAATTCCCCCATATGGGCGTTTCGATCACTAATATTTCTTGCTATTTAAATTCGCGTGCTTTTATTTACATCCTTACTCGCATATTTTGTATTTGGTATGACTGGAGGACTGGATAGTATATCGGAAAAAAGAAAATGAGTACGGAAAACTAAATTGTCGGCTTAAGGTGTTCTACCTCTGGACAATGACCTACCCTAACTGGAACAGCACCTCAAATTAATGTGAACTAATTTCGTTGGTTCTGGGTGGGGGCTTCTATATATTACATTTCCACTAATCAGCATATGGAAATTGTGCACACAAAAAAAAAGTCAACACTAACCTTGTAAAAATGTGTGTGCTAGACACAATCAACATGCGACAGCGCCAAATCCAATACTTTGGGTTATGGCCGCGTAAACCACACTTTGCAATATATTTTATAACTTTATTTTACTTTATACTTCAAATCGAGCTAAGCGCACTCCACTGTTCACTAGTAGAGTCACTTCTAAAAAGAAAGAGCTTGATTAGCGACGAAGACAGGCAACCTCCGTTCGCGCAAATTTCTCCTTTCTTTCGTCCTTTGACAGCGGGTGTCATGCCAAAAGAAATTAGTAATGACGTTACATATACTTTATCTAACCACCAGAGGGCGATAAATCCTCCGAACTAGGAACAGGCATAGAACAGAAGGGAACCAAAATACTCCTTTGCTTACTTCTGGACTCATATAAAAATTTAAAAATCTGTTCTGCTACGCGAGGCAAGCGCACTACAACTATAACTTGACATGAATATCATTAGAAATAACAAGTTTACTTTATGGTGAGAAAATATATTTCCCACGACGGTCCCTATTACAACAGTACAGTTATAAGAATGAAGAACCACAATGGAGGTTTTAATGTTACATTTTTGACCAAACCTATAAAATGATAAGATATAAACAGGTATTTCAAAGTAAAAGATATATATTAAATATATGCAGATTTCTTTCGGTCCTTCGGCCTTTTCTCATAATTACTTTCAGTCTCTTCATACCGACTGACATAAAAGCAGACTGGTTCCAATCGACTCTTCTCAGTAACAAAGTGTATAATTGTCGGGCCATTATTTTATTAATGCGTGAGTCAATCATTGTAAAGTTCTAAGCCGTCTTTTAAAAGTACGCGTTTTAGTGGGCTTATTCGTTTATACCTATTTGTACGTATGTACATACAAGTATATCAAGCAGAAAAATTTGGTAATTTTTGCACCAAACTTTGTGCTATTTTCAATTAAAACTTTAATTATTTAAACATGAGTGTGCAAAACCGACAATATGCGAATCAAGAGAGATAGATAAACAAAAATGGCAGGCGAAAATAAAAAGAGCAAGGGCGGGTGGCTAGTAAGTGACAATAAGCTGTTGTTATTAGAAATTTAACAAATAAAGCTTGGGTTGCTGCATTAAAAATTGTCTCTGGACTAGTTTTGATGTGACAAGAAAAACAAAAATAAATTCTCGTATGTGTGTGTGTGTGTGTGTGTGTGTGTGTGGGTGCGCGTTTTTGTGTCTTATATGATACCCAGGCGTGCACACAAGCTGCTGCTCTTGTATTCACATGTCCTTGACGTGTTCTATGCTAATCTGAACATCAACCAAACATTTGCGTTTGACAGCACCAGCTTCAGGGTGCTTCGAGCGCTCAGCTCTTGATGAGCTGCTGACGTAAGCTCGGACAGTTGGGCTTCTCTCGGACCGTGTGCATGATAAATTGTTTTGCGACACATATTTTTGGGCTTTCTGAATGCCGAAACCAACAAACAAAAGCCTCTCGGCTCAACGTGTGTGCGTCGCCTTCAGCTTTGAGCTCATCAAGTGCAGTGCATCAAATACACACACACACACACACACACACACACACACACACACACACACATACCTATCTACCTATGTTTATATAGAATAGCAGTGTTACATACTATATGTGCGCGCTCAAGCTTACGCCTTGACATTAATAAAGCATAAAGTGGGCGTGGTCGTGGGCCCCGTGGTCGGTTATTACATTAATCTTTGTTCAGTGGCAGTCGCCTGCGTCCAACACTGACAGATGTTTTGATTTACTTCTTCATAATACGAGTACTTATAAATGTGTATTAATAGAGGTTCGGAAGAGTACGAATAATTGCTCGCTTTTTGGGTTTCTTTGCGCTTAAAGTGTCGCTCGACTTTTAATATATTCCGCCGTTTGTCGCCATTTTCCTCGGCATAAATTAAATTCGAGCAATCGTGGTTGGGTTCATTGCTGCAGTTGCCATATTTCTTTGCTGGATTTTTGCTGCTCGAATTTATAAATATTTTCCCCCATTTCGGACTGTCGCAAATTTGGCTCGACGCCAAACGCTCGCTACGTCTCGCTATTTCTCTCTGTCTCTTTGCAAGTTTATTAAAAATATAAAAATGTTTTGCAATAAAATCGCGGCAGCTTTGTTGTTTCTGTTGTTGTTACATCGCTTGTGCAATCATCGAGCGCAATCGTACAATATTTGTACATACAAGTACGAGCACATATTTGTTGATGTAGATGACCACTTTTAGTATACAATGTATTTTCCACGACTCTTGGTATTGGGTTTTCGTGATTATGTAAGCAAACTGGATATGATAGCTGTGTAAAATTATCGGAATATACTCAACAACGTAACAGCTGATCAATTTCTCAATATTTTAACTTATACAAAAATGGTTGAAGCGGAATTACAAAGAAAGTCCAATGAAAAGAAAACTTTATTTAGCATTTACTCTACGAGTAGATTCTACACTCTAGAGAGTTCCACAAGATCCCATAGAGAAAATTATACCTTTATGCACACTTTAATTTAAAATGCACTTATTTTCAGGTCTTTTGGGCCTGAAAATTTTAAGCCAAAAATGCAAAAGAGGCTATGTGGATTTCAAAGCGAAAATTAAATGTGGACTGGTGACTGCTTTCTATGCTTATAATAATTGAAGCGGCGCAAAGAAAAAAACGATAAAACAGTTTGAAAACTAATTCAATCAATTACTTAATTACCAAGTAAGAAAGCTAAAGTCGGGTGTCCCAACTTTGAAATACTCTGTACATATGTTTACAATAATTATAGAAAAAAAAAATAAGAAAATTTAAAAAAATTTGATCGATTTTACCTTTCTCGGTATTCGAACTCACGTAAAGGGTATATAATATATATATATATATATATATATATATATATATATATATATAGATATATATATATATATATAGATATATATATATATATATATATATATATATATATATATATATATATATATATATATATATATATATATATATATAAAA